TCCGCCTTCTTTAAAACTCTTGCCATGTTATGTAAAGATATTCATTCATCCACGATGTCTGCTGAGAGTTATGTCTCCGTGATGAGAATTATATCTGCTTGCAGATTATCGCACATTGTTTTTAGCTCCCTAAGACCTCTTATATTACTGCAGAAGCATGTGAAGAAGCTACGTTCAGGACTTCCTGCAGTATGGGTACTTGTTCGGGGGCTGGTGTGCCAGTCCTTACTGAACTGGTAGGTCTCCGTTTTTGGTCCCTCTGGGCATCCCGCTGCTGGTGTGGCGGTATTGTTTATTGTGCCCGCAGGTAGCTCACTGCCTAGTTTTTATTATGACCAGCACTGTTTGTAGCGTTCCCGGAGGTTACCTACTATCTTCTAGTCTGGCAGCTCGTGTTTTACTCTCATGGCATCGTATAGCACCTCCCATATGGTCTTTCACACTGTACCATGCTGTGACAGCTTCTGTTAGTGGTGCTTTGCAATCAAGTCGTGAAGCTAGTAATCTTGGTGAGGAAATGCTCTGCAAGTGCACAGGTCTTGGTAACATACTTGCCCTGCTGGCGGGCAAATTTCCAATTACCACTTTTGCCGCTAGCCACCTCCATTGCTCGACACCATGAAGGTAATTATCACACTTTGTGGATCCACCTGCCAGTTCAGGTATTCCATGCACCACCATGGTTGCAGATTTGTGCAGATCACTATGTGAGGACTTTCTCTCCGCCGCTCTGGTGACCCGAGGTTTGTCTAGTTTCAAAATTATGGTGTGTGGGCCTGGAACGTACTGTCAGCGTAACAGCAGCAATATGTTCTCCGACTGCTTCGCCGTCATTGATGATGTCCTGAGTGGCGGTGGCTTTTCTCGAGGTGGTCTACTTCCTCAGGAGAGCCGGCACAAGTTGGCTGGGATGGTTTCGATTCCCAAATTTCTGCAGTAGTCGTCCCACTTCTCTTTGCCTGGCTGTTCTTCTTTGAGAGTGAGCCTGTTGGTATGAGGACGTTGAGCAGAATCATGGAATCCGTTATCTTGTCCTGTGAGTGCGGAGTATTAGGCTTAGCATCTAGTGCTTTCGGCCTACCTTTTACCGCAATTCACTTCCGTCCACTCGTTCTCAGAGCAACGTATTTCCTCAGGTTATTCAGTCCCGTTGGACCATCTCGGTTGTCTCGCTTTTTGGCGCCTCACCTGGAGCGGGGGCCAATCTCTTCCTATCTTGAGGGGTGACATTTTTGCACACTTGTGGAGCTTCACCAGTTTATGAGGGAAGATTATTGGAGCTGGCGATTTAGAACATGTTTGACTGTACCAGGTTTTCCAGCTTCCCAGTGGCGACAGCATGTGATTTCCGACGCTCTGTGTATATATATCACGTCCATTTACACGGGAACTTCCTCATAATGCCATAATACTGCCCTAGTAAACCATTACCACAGTTACAGTGTACCCATCTAAAGCAGATGTTGCATGCAAAGGCTTTCTGAGCCTCTGACACCGACTCCTTGCAAACATCAAAGTCGTCAGAGGTTTGCTCTTTGTTGACGACTGAGCGGCTTGCTTTCCGTGAACTGATACCAAGCTTAGTGCCTTTCCTCATGCTTTATTTTTCACCACTGACATGTTCGATGACGTGGTACTGTCACCCGACCACATGAGTTTGCCGATTTGGGTAAATGCTGTGACTGGTGTGACAGTGCTACGGGGACATTAGACGGTGGGGGCATTGCTGCACCCATCTATTCTGCACGGACTAGATTCTGTTCGCCTTCAGACCTCCTTATACCATTAAGGGCTTGCAATCTGGTGCTTTGTACCATTGTAGTTGAATGAGGAAGAGAATAAAGCGTAAAGTGGATACCTTATTAACAGGAACTTGGTACTCGGCTTCTCTCACTTCATCAACAACCTTGGCCGAACACTCATAGTGCTTATGCATGCACCAAGAAAGATGTTTCCCGGTGAATGGTCCCCGAAGGGAGCCAAAAACTGTGGCAGTTGAATGGTCCAGACGACTAAGAATCACCAGCAGGAAGTATTTCCGAGTTGAGAAGATAGTTGTACGTAACAATTCCGGCGTCCGGTTGATTAAGTGAATTGTGTTCACTGTTACGATATGACTGACAGCTGTTTTTGGTGATAAACACCGTAGTATTGGCTCTAGATTGGAGATGATCAAGGCGTGATGTCATTCAAACCGCATGGGTAATGCCTTGAAATTGGCGGCTTGTGTGGTTCAAACAATGGCTGAATAATTCACAATTTTGAACTGAGCTTGTTTCAGTTTGGTGAACAGTTTTGTTTGTATTCATCTGTTTTGTCCCTTGTTACCAGCCAAGCATACGTGTCCTTTCTCTAAACGCATCTCTTATGTTCCATGAATAAAGGTGTATAGTGTATCTCACGCTACTGTACATAACAGTCAGTTAATATTACCAAAATGATCAAACCTGTAAACTGGTTAGTTCTCATGTAACCTGTGTTGTATGAAATGCTGCTATTAGTATTATTTTTATTACTATTACTATTATTATTATTACTACTACAGCCGCTATGATCTTGAGGGGCTATGTACTAGTTGTGTTACAACACCGTGACGTTTGACCAACCCTACCTAACTTGATGTGCTCTAGTACCTGCTTGACCAGTACCTTACCTAACGTCTAAGTACTGATAACGAAACGTAAACCAAAAGAACTGGTTTCAGGAATATATTCGAAGAAGTAATATACTCAATTAGAATAAATGTAATAGTGATGAATAGGAAAGAAGTTTACTCAACTTACCTGGCTGGCATGGCCGAACTAGGGACTCTGAGTGCGTGCGTGCTAACCAGCACAAAGGGTGCGCAGGATGGCATCGAAGCCTGCTCGGATGCATGCTCGCTAAAACAAAGCTTAAAACACCCTAAGCGTCCGGAAGCGAGCTAAAGACTTATTTAGTTGGTTCGATCCGCTCTTTTATTTAGTCCTAGTTATGTTCTAGTGTCAGGGGGGTGCACTAAAATCTAACAGAACTACAGGGTAGAAGGTGACATATATTGATTGTTTAGCTGTAGGACAAATTTGTACAACACCTTTTTTCCTGACCTCGGTAACATAAAAAAGAAGCTCAAGCACAAGAATTTCTACCTCAATCACTGATGGCTTCAAATGTCGGCTTCCGTTTCGTCCGCCTCCCATCAAAAGGACTAACGCAGGCCGTCCTTCTAGCGGCACAAAAGTCCCCCAAGGTCAATAGCCTGGTGTTCGACGAGATTCAATATTGGTGCTGGCCCCCACAGTTTTATCGGTCTTGCTAGGTTGAGGGCACACTCAAGGGCCCGCGTCATCTGGCATGTTCTTATGTTACCTTGCACCGATCGTAATCTACCCTCTGGCCAGCTAGTCGGAACGCATCGGTACTTCGGCACGACCTCTTACATCTAACTACACTATTGCGTCCTTCCTTAGCCTTGAACTCGTGAATCTGTTACGAGTGCAGATAATTAGCGGTTCGACCTTGCTTTTGTCATGGTTGATAAACGACAACTCCTAAAGGCTGAATATAGTTTGTGTAGTGATGATATGTAGTGGCTGGCAGTGGAATCCAGGATGTGCGTTTCGTCCTATTTGGGACTCGTCAGCTGGAAGTACCTGCCTACCAGTGAGTGATATTGTTCCCACCGGGACTTGGACTCAGGAGCGATCTCTTCAAACGCCACAGCGCTATCCGCTACACCACCGAGCCACGATAGCCACTTCTTGTGCGACGGGTATAGGTTTATTATAATTGTTTTTATATAATACCGTCGTTGATTGGACCGGATTGATGAGTCTCTGTTAGCATATGGGCTCCTGTGCGGATGCTCGATGTTGCCTGTTTTTTAACTACGTATAGTTATGATGGGCAGTGGCTAGAAGGGGAATCCAGGGCGTGCATTTCATCCTATTCGAAACTCGTCAGACAGATGTACCTGGATTCGACCACAAGCCACTGCCCATCATTACTATATATAGTTAAAAGGCAATATCGAGCCATCCCACGGGAGCCTATATGTCAATCAATACACAATCAATTCGGTGCAATCAACGACGGTATTATATAAAAACAATTACAATAAACCTATACCCGTCGCACAAGAAGTGGCTATCGTGGCTCGGTGGTGTAGCGGATAGCGCTGTGGCGTTTGAAGAGATCGCTCCTGAGTCCAAGTCCCGGTGGGAACAATATCACTCACTGGTAGGCAGGTACTTCCAGCTGACGAGTCCCAAATAGGACGAAACGCACATCCTGGATTCCACTGCTAGCCACTACGCATCATTACTATACATAGTTAAAAGATAGGCCATATCGAGGCATCCGCATAGGAGCTCATGTGCTAACAGAGACTGATCAATTCTGCCCAATCAGCGACGGCGTAATACAAACAATAACACTAAACTAAATATAGTTGTTTAATCCATGCTAGGTTTTAAGGGATTTGGCTTTCGTAAAGACAAGATTTCCTAAAAACTGCTGATTTTTCCAAATTTTCCGCAGGATTTTAACTTACCTACTCTGCAAACTACAAAGGGATAAATTCCACGTATAATTCCACACATAGGTGTGAAATTCAGGAAAGCAGAAGAGATTGACTGATCTTATCAGCAACTTTGTTGCCCCCCCCCTCCCACCCAAACGAACCAAACTACAAATTACAAATAAAACATCTTCAACTAGACAGTCACTAACTCCAGAGCTATGGACAGAAAGACGCGAGGACCTCTGTGACTATTGAAGGAGTACAACCGAACAAAAAAACCTAGCCTCAAGACCTAGAAGCGAAAGCTTAAAAACAACAAGTTTCATCTACTAGCACTATTAATGTTGGATGTTGGAAATGAAGTAGCTTAATTTAATAAAACGAAGCCATCCTAAAGGTCTAGACACAAGAGTTCTAAAGCGGCTACTTTGCCATACTCGTTCAAAAATGCATGCGCACTGGATATAGTGCCATGAACATTGAAAGTTTGAAATCCTAGATGTGGTTATTATTAGTTTCGCGCTACAGTGTGATGGACCAGCCTTTGTTTTCTTGCACAAAATGCCACCGGAATTTTGCACAGTCAGAAATGTCTAGATCAGGGCAAACATGCAAAGTACTTGAAATCCCTGCTGTATTTTAATGCTTTATTATCTAGGGATGCAACCCTCACCACTCAACGTTCAAGCAATGTGAATATTGTAAGTCTGACTTCAAGTACTACGTGTAAGTCATGCAAATTTTGCTAACCTTTACCATTTTTAAAGTTTTGGAGATATCTGTCCACGGTGTCAGTCACTGAAAAGTAAATATGGGGAGCCTCAACCCTGTTCAATATGCAAGTTAAGGACTGCGTTCGGCAGTGCTTTGGTTTGCCAGCGCTGCTTACACTATAGAAACAGATTTGGCGAACCGAGACAATGCCACTCGTGTGGAAATATGTGCGCGTTTTTAAAAGATGAAGTGAGTTTTATCGTGATTGGCCGCATTTTCTCGTGTACGAACCATTCCACTATGCAAATTAGGTGACAGCTAGATTGGTTCTACTATATTCGCTTTTGGTAGATTGCTGTTGTACGGATATTTCTGATAATGTCGACTGCACTAGTTCCATTAGTTCAAGGAGCTAACTAACCAGCCTTCCGTTAATCTTCGCATCAAACCAGTATGGAAATTTCTCGCACGACATACTAATTTGTATGTGAGATTACTTAGTATGTATTCTATTATCGAGTCCTGAGTATCCAGTAGATCGATCTGTTGTCGCAAAAGGCGTTATTTGTCTACTGTCACTATAGTGACACGAGTACGAACTAAACTGTATGCGGTTGCTTATAGGCTAATTTTGTAGGCACTCAGTATTTCATCTGTCAACCTCAGTGATATGTTATTCCAGACTTAAGTGGCAGATTTTTTTTCTCCTTTTCGCTACAAAGGGATAACGGTATTAGGAGTGTCTCTGGTCCTCAAGAATTAGGTTAGTAAGCTAATGACCTATATTAATTGTCACTAGTGGTAGTTCTACAGAGATTGAATCTTGCTTTTAAAGTACCAACGTAAAGCAAAATACCATGTGTTCCAGGGGTTTACAACGAAATTTCACTCTTTGACTACGACAGGAGTGGAGAAAAACCTGATTTGTCCGCTGTACTTCAAAAGTTAGAGAGCCTCCTAACCATTTTGTTTCTTAGTCTTTAAACCATCTGTAATATAACATCTTCACACTTGACGAATGAGTTCTGCTTGAATCCTATACCCTACACGAGATCTTATGTAGTTGGGGCATAAGGTGCAAAGCGTTATCATCTCAGCCCTGGAGGACGTCTCACAAGACTAAAAGGTTCCAAAGCATTCGACAGCTGACATTACAGCTAACTGATGTTTTAAAGTTATGGTTAATCATAATAATTCCTTGAATTCAGTTACTTCAGGTAACGGCGTGTCGTTAATCAAGTAATCATATAAACCGTTGTAACCTATTCGTATGGCTACACTTTTGTTGGTGTTTTTTCTGGGTAGACAGACAAAATCACCATAGAACATCGCACAAAAGTGTATCGATTCTAGTTACAGCACTTTATAGCATCACGCAAAGAACGGGATGGTAGGGAAAGCGTGATATCAAGGTAGACAGGTGTGTAATAGGAGAAGAAATTCGAGAAGCCGAGGTTAGTGAAAGTTTTCAAGCTTTGTTGTGTCAGTGCATTAATCTGCATCATTGTGAGCAATTTTTAGTCGCGCTACCAATAGTCTCCAACCATTGGTTCCTATTGTCTCAAGGACCCCGACCAGACTGTCTTCATCTTACATGGATCAGGTAAACAGCCACAGGCTTCATGGACTGGTGCCACATATTTGTCCATCCTTCTTTTGGAACTGGCTCATTGGTTTAGACACTTTCAATCAGTGGGTCGTGGGTTCAAACCCTGCTACACTTACCGAGGTCTGGGCAGCCAAGTAGTAATAGTAATCCCAACCATTGATATGACTGCCTGAAGTAAAAATGTGTTCAAGGTTACTGAGTGCATTTCGATTCTGGACTTATTCTGGCTTAGTCCCACTTCGGCTCACATTGCCTATCGAGGTAGTTGGTGGGCTAACATGCACTGTGTGTCCATACCACCTCAGTCGGTGCAGGTTCACATCCTCTTAAATTAACGTATCTACCCTTCACCTAGCCTAGACATAGCTTACATGGTGATTCTACTGTACGTAAGCAGTTCTACAAAGACATTTACGGTCAAAAACCTGCAATCTCTTGAGATTTGCTATAAACAGCCATGCCTCAGTGGTATAATAGGACAGGACGGAATAGAGCACAGTATACTCGTCCTTGGATGGATATATCGCGGGTAGCAAAGACGACACGTCGAATGCCAGATGAGCTTTTTTCATCTGTACCGAGATACGGTTAACCATCAAGCCGTTCAGGCTGATACAACTTCTGATGTACGTTAAGCGATCAGCAAGTTCTGCAAATTCACCCTGTCCTTAAACTGAGAGTAGCTGTAGACTAGTCTTGAAGCATTATCTTACATATGACAGATACGAGACGCCTCAAGCAGATATCTCTTGGACCACATACTTACCCTTCTTTTTCAGCTACGTCAGGAAAACCTGACCTTCGATGTGAGCAACTGGGAAGTATCAACTCCCCTGACAACGCTGTCAGCACTCAAGCCCCTTCAAATCACTTTCAACCTCCCTTATCCTTACTTTTTATTCTTCCTTCACGTCTATCAATTATTCTACGTCACCTTTAATTTCTCCCCGCTCTGCAGCTCTCGACAGATATCTGAGTTCACAGAACGGCACCCTTGGTATCCTGAAAAAGGGCTCCAAATTACACGTGGCGCTTTCAGTGTCCAAACCCTCCGTCAAGTTGGCCAGCAAGCTCCACTAACAAGGACTAACAACTTGGGCCATGGATGTGTCCTGTGTTTTTTGGAGACACGTACGGTCAGTATGGTAAATCCGTAAAATTCATCCTTTGAGTTTGTGGAGAATAATTAGTCCGTTCTCGTGGTCTTACAGATGTAGGTATAGCATTGAGTACCAAAACACAAAGTTCGCCACTCAACTGGATCCCAGTAGACAATTGACAATTGAAAGTGGAAGACATGAGAAGGTTACAGGTATTTGACCACCGTTGCCTTCGTAGTATAGGACGTATTCCGTGGTGTCACCACGTGAGTAATGCAGAAGTTAGGTGTAGAGTTTTAGGGAGAAGAGGTAAGTCAGTCGACGAGGTTGTGAACCTTCATCGACTGAGATGGTTGGGACACGTACTACGTATGCCTAGTCACCGATTGCCTCTTCACACAATGTTGGCTGAGGTGGGTTCAGGCTGGAAAAAGGCCCGAGGTGGCCAGACTAAAACATGGCACCAATGTATGAAGTCTCTGACTTTTGGTTTAAGCCATGTAGGACGATGCAGACTAGGTGGTTGGGGTCCATGGGACAAGAGGAACCAGTGGTTGGAGACCCTAGGTGATATGGCTCAGAACCGAAGTCAGTGGCGCAGATGTATACACACATTATCCTCATCTTAACAACGCTATACCGAATCTCACTATTTTGTCACTCCTCTTTCCTTTCTTCTCATACTTTATATTTCTTTTGACTGCATTCACTTATCTTCATCCTTCACCTCACTACCTTTTTACTTGATGTGCTGATATGAGGTGTGGCAACTCGGACCGTTACGCAGTAATGCCTGGTCCTATGTTGATAATGATGATGATGATGAGACAATTGCCTATGCTCTGTTCGACTGAATGACACAGTGAGGACTGAAAAGAATAGTGAAGCTCGCCGTTTTCTCGTTGTAATCTCTGCTTAGGCACCAACTGACTGCAGTTCGAATGAGGTGCAGGATGAGTTCTGCCGATAACTGTCTAACCCTCTACTGAAAGCCAAGAGCTGAGGCATGGTAGTTGCGGGCGATTACGGTACATAAGTGGGTAAGCTGGGCCGGGCAAAAAAGCACTTAGACAGCACTTTCGGCATCCCAGCCCAACCTAAAGATAATGGTGATTGCCTATTACGATTGTGGTCAAACTACCACCTGTTTCTAGCCAGCACAAACTTCAGACATAAAGAAATTGTCTGACAGCGTCTACCGGACTCAACTCAGTGGTGGAGATAGATAGGCTACATTGACATCAATCATCGCCGGAGTGGGCTCATGGGAAACTGCCGCTCCTTCTAAACCACGTGTCTAGACAGCGACCATGCGTTGGTTCAAGCGCGTGTGAAAGAAAAGAAATGAAAAGTGCACTCATCAACCTTCTGCACATTCATGCAGTAGGCAATAAGCCAAACCTATTGTGTGGGGAATAATGATAATACCTGGTTGCTCAAATCTGTGACCCATTGGTTGGAAGTCATCTCCCTAAACCAATTCGCCAGAGCTCCACTCGGATGTGTGTATGTCTACGTCTAAATGGACCTAGGTAAACTTTAGCAACGAGACCATCTCGAGTGCAGATTGACAGTGAGAGAACTATGGTCGCTTTCAGTGAGCTGGCTTGGCACTTATCGCAATAAAACAATATTACTCATCCAGAAATAGCTTGGCAACATCTCCAGTCTGCTGTAAAAACAGCGTTCAAAACTATAGGTGACTCAGAGAGTGGTTAAGAAGAGCCAATGGATCTAAACCGCTTCTTCTGATTTAATGGATGCATGCGGACGTATTGCTGCAGGCTCGAGACACATTGAGGAGCGAATGCGACTCAAACATAGACTGACAATAGATCTAAGCAATGACCGCAAACATCAGTCGGCAAAGGAAGTTAATGTGATGGAAAAGACAGCGGCGGTAGGTAACAGTGGACAGTTATTTATACTTACCAAGGAAACTGGAGCGATCAGTAGTTGGTACAGACGATAAAAGAAAAGCATGGGTGTGTGATTCCCCCATAGGATAGACGACTGGAACGATGGGGGAAACAGTTCAACTGACCTTCGGTTTATACTCAGTTCCCCACTACTTAGCCTGAATGAAGCATCGAGATAGGCCCCCTAATAATTCCAGTAGTCGAGAAAGCTGTAACGCGAAAAAGGGAAGAGCGGCAAGCCCATACGGACTAGTTCCAGAGGTGTTTAAGGACAGGTCAAGGATTTTTAGTTAACTGAAGTGCTATCCATCCATCCAGATCAACCTAGGACCAGGCATTACTGCGTGACGGTCCGAGTCGCCACACCTCGTATCAGTACATCAAGTGAAAAGGCAGTGAGGCGCAAGATGAAGATAAGAGAATGCAGTTAAAAGAAATACAAAGTACGAAAAGAGAGAAACGAAGAATGAGAAAGTGGTGAGATTCGGTATAGCGTCGTTAAGATGTGGATAACGTATGTGCACATCTGAGCCACTGACGTCGGTTCTGAGCCATATCACCTAGAGTCAGTCTCCAACCACTGGTTTCTCTTATCCCGTGAACCCCAACCACCTAGTTTGC